TTGGACAATACAAGCTCTGTCCTCGGCCAGGAGATCCGCCTCTGGGTCAGCTCTGCTCTTCCCCCCACTCTTCCTGGTTCCCAGCGCCCAGCCCTCCACAAGTTCCCCTGACCAAGAGCTCTTCCAACCCGCAGTGCCCTCCTCCTATAATCCCTACCCCAAGGATCTCCACACACTGGGTCACAGGCATGGGATCGCCCCAGACCCTGGAAGAGGAGGTTCAGCCTTCGGTGCCAAGATGGGCTGCTCTCTGCATAATCAAGGTAAGAAAACCTGCTTGGAGGGAGGTGGGTGAGGTGTTGCTAAAATTGTTTCACTTTACTAACATCATTCTGGCTTCCTCCTCCCTTTCCCCGTTCTGCAGCTCTTGGTCTGCCTGGCTGGCCCTATGTGACAATAATGTTTCACTCAGCCTCTCATCAGCTTCCTTTTTGCAGCCTCCTTCCCCCACAGTGAGAGCGAGCATCAAGTCTGAGCTGGTAGTTCAGCTACCCATTTTGTGATCCTCCCCAGTTCCGTGGAGGACAGCAACACCAGCCTGAGTGAAAGGCTCTAGCCCACCCACCACTCAGATTCAATCAAGTGCCTCTTGGCTGAGTCCCATCTCTCCTTTAGGTACCTTAGAACCTACTCTCTGAACATGTATCAGAGGGCCAACCAAAGACTCTGGAAAAGGCAAGACATTTAAAGAACGAGCATGTGCTCCAAAAGAATTGAACCAATTTTCACGTCGCATGTTTCTCAATGACATAATCAAATCTTGCCAAAATACAGTGACCTTCAGCCCCACCCCCCTCCAGTAGCCTCTGATCCCTGTTGCTCTCCTAACTCCTGTCTCTCCTCCCGATCTCTTCCCTCCCCAGCACCATTCCAACCCCCCAGCCCCTCCCTCCAGCCCCCAGTGACTGCTCTAACCTCTGGACTGCCTGTTGGACAGCAACTCAGCCAAGAGCAGTAAGATCATGGCTCCCTAGTCCCAGCAACACCCACCCCTCTCAATGCCAGTCTCTGGGGGACCCATACTGTCACCATGTGCTGCTTCCCAGCCTCTTCCCTGCTGCTAGATTGGAATCAGGGGCTCCACCCCCTGGTAATCAGAACCAGACTTACCCAGCTCTTGCCAGAGGCAGGCTGAGCATTAAAAGGATGAAGGGCCTTAGCCGTGGTGGTACTGGCTGCTTTGAGCAGGCATTGGGCAGAGCCCTGGGCCCTGGCTCCTCAGAAGCCACCTCCCGCTGCACGCTGCCCCCGCCCCGCCTCCCTCCCCCCCCCCACTCCCGCCGTTTTCATCACGGAAAATCCGGTAGGGAGGGGAAGGAAGAGACGGAGGTTCAGCAAGTGCTCACGGCTAAAGAACATTGGGGGATCTGGGAATGGATACAGATTCAGAGATTAGAAAGAGACCCCTTTCCTTTACTTTCCCCTCCAGGGCGGCACAACAAAAACCCGCCCCATGGCCCCGTAAGTCCGTTACAAGAAGTTACTACCCAGTGGCAGATTCAGACTCTGCAAAAGAAGGGGGTGATATTAAACCACAGAATGAACTTCCACCCCATTGGAAGCCTGGGGCCTGAGTTAAATGGGAGGAAGACCTCATGAAAGTCTCCCAGGGAGTGGGAGTGACCGTCCAGCCCCCAAGCAGGACAGTGGGTGGGCTGCCTGGAGTTGCTTAGCAATGGCGGTGTGTGTGTGGGTTGGGGAGGTTGGTATTGAACTTGGTATGGAGGTCCTCGCTGCTAAGTCCTTCGGGGAGACCAGGTGACACCTGCGAAGTCTCGTATGAGGCTGAGGGCCAGGGAAGGGTGTCCAGAGACTCGGAACACAGGTGACCCAGGCATCTTCCTCTGAGTCCAGTGCTCCGTGGTCAGGTGGCGCTGGCCCCGCCAGGCCGCGCCGCGCGGGTGGGTCCAGCTCCGGGGTCAGGCCCAGTCCAATGCACCCCTGTGGAGGGGCGATCGGAGAGGCCAAGGCAGTTCTCTCCCCGGCCTCCAGTGCCGTCTGGACCTGGGCCCACCTCTTCTGCGTCCGTCTGGCTCGTGAGGGTTCTGTGGCCTGTGTCCTCCGTGTCCACCTTCCCCAAACCTCCCGGGCTCTTCCCATCTCCGGCGCCTCTGCGCTCCTTCCTTCCTCCCAGCGCTTTGTGAGCGGGGTGCGCAGAAGGTGGGGAGCGCGGGGAGAGAGGAGGCCGAGGGGCGGGAGCGAGCGGAAGGTGGGGATTGGAGCGGGGCAGGAGGGAGGGGAGAAGCGCGGGAGGGAGGAGAGGAGAGGGCGGCGCGGGCGCGGGCGAGCGCGGCGGGGCGGGCGGGAGGGAGCCCAGGAGCGCGGCGCCCGCTCCCGCCTCCGGCGCCTCCCGCGCGGCCGCTCTGCGCGGGCCCCGCCGGGATGGGCTGGCCCGGGGGCTCCCCCTGCTGCTGCTGCCCCGCCCCGCCGCGCCCCCGCCCCGCCGGGCGCCCCCCGCAGGTGAGTGGCCGCGCCGGGCGGGAGGGCGGCGGCCTGTGCGTCACGGCCCGGGGGGCAGTGCCGGGGGCGGGCGCCAGGGGGCGCGGGGCCGCCGGGCCCGAGGGGGCGCGGGGAGCCGGGCCGGCGTCCCTGGGCCCTCCCTGGGCCGGGGGTCCGAGATGGCGCGGGCCGCGGCGAGCCCAGACAGCTGGCAGCCGGGACCCGGACCAGGGGGCGGGGCGCGGGTGGCGGTCAAACTCCGGTCGGGGCCGTCACGCCTTGGCGAGCCCGGTGCGCACACGCCCCCGGGCCCCGCGCTGCCCGCACCCGCGCGCCCCGCACCGGGCGCCGCTCCCGGGTCGCCGTGGGGCACGATCCCCCACACGCAGGCCCCAGACCGCCCTGGCCTGGGAGGGTTTTCCTTCTCTACTTCACATCGGGGAAACTGAGGCAGGAAGCAGGCCTCCAGGAGGCCGATTTCACTTTCCAGCCCCACTCCTCGGCCCCCTGGGGCTGCTGCTGCTCTCAGTTCCCCAGACCCCCCCTGGCACACCCGCAGACGCCGCCTCCCTCCCTCCCGCCTTCCCGCGCCTCACCCCTCCTCCGTGGCGGCCGGGCTCCCGGCCTCTCATCCAACCACAGCTATTTCCAGGAAGGGGGAGTGTGGGTGGAGGGGTTTCTCCAAACAAACCCCGGGCTTCAGCGTGCGATGGGGGCCAGGCCGGGGGAGAAGCTGACGGGCTCTGGAATGTTCCAGGCAGGCAGGAGAAGGGTCCTGGGGTCTGGCCATGCCTTTCCAGGCCTGCCCCAGGGAGCTGCTTTCCCGCTCCGCGCGGCCGAGGGACCCGTGCTTCCCCCTCTCCATCTTCCCTCCGAGGTGCCTCACAGGGTGGGGAAGGACCCAAAGCCAGAATTCCCCCGACACCCAGAGGGCTCAGTGAGACCCCACAAGGAAAGAGGGTGCGTCAGGAGATGTTGGAAGACCTGCTGCAGGGGAGGGTGGCTTTTCGGGGAGGGGACGTTCAGCCCCTCTGGAGGGAGCAGGAGGAAAGAGCACGCTGAAGGGTCCCGGTCAGGGTGTGAGCAACTGGAGCAGAGAAAGGCCACCCACCTACCAGCGTCCCTCCCCCCCCCCCCCCCCCCAGCAGCGCCGGGGACTGGAGGAGGCCAGGCCCAGTTGCCCACATTGGCCTGGGGCCTGGAATGTCCTGGGACCCGGCCAGAGCCGGTGGGGTGGGAGTGGGTTGCAGAGCCAGTGCCCCTCTCCAGTTACAGGCTAGGGGCCCTCGTTTGCCACACAGATGTCTCCCTCTGGGCAAGGTACCCTGGGGACAGACTCCCTGACCTGGAAGGAGATTTAGAGCTTCAAGGGAGAAGCCTCAGGCAAGGCCCAGCCCACGCAGGTCCACAGAAGTGTCCTGAGTGGGCTCCCACAAGGGGAGTCATCCGGGGAAGGCAGGACCGGTCCAGCCCCAGGGGCAAGAGGGCGGGAGAGGGAAGTGTAAGGACCTGGTGGGAGATGCCAGAGCTGGGGGAGCTGCGCAGCGCTGGGACATTCAGTAAATACCATGCAAATGAGGGGGGTAGGTATTTGCACATTCTTTCAAGTGACAGCTCTGGCTGGTCCCAGGGGCTGCTGTCCGAGGCTTGGGGCTGAAGACCCCAGAGCATGAACCCCTTATATTTTTGGAAGATTACTTCCCCTGTTTCCAAGGCCCCAAACCACCTCCTTCCCTTGACTCCCGGGACAGGAAGTTGGCCGAGTTCCCAGGAGGGAGGCAGGAGGCCCATGGAGGGGTATGGAGTATGTGAGGGGGTGAGGGGGGGCACTCCTGTCCATACTCAGGTCCTGGGACAGCTGCTAAGGAAGGAGGGCAGAGCTCAGAGAGCCATGAACGTGGTACTCAGGCTTTGGGGGAGGGGCAGCCCTGGGGCCTCAGTGGCAGAGCCCAAAGAGGGGCCAGGGATCTGAGAAGCTGGGCAGAAACCAGCCCAAGAAGTGAGTGAGCGGGGGCCTGTGTCAGAGCAGAGCATCTGGGGGCTGTCAGGAGAAGGGCCTCAGACGCCTTGGGCCGGGGCGGGAACGGATCACTCCTGTGGGCAAAGCTGCCTGCTGGCTGGAATCTGCCTTCCAGCGTGAGTGGGGGAAGGAGGGGCATGCATGTTTTCCTTTTCCTACTTCACAACCTGTGAAACTGAGGCAGAAGCTGGCCCTCAGCCCCCTTTTCTCTGACCCGCAGGATGCACTCTGGATCCTAGGATCCTGGGCTGGCCAGGACAGTTTCCTAGGGCCCACCCACCCTCCCTCACCCCCTCCCAAACACCAGAAGTCCCCAGAGAGCCTGAGAGTTCAGGCTGGGAGGCCGGCCTGGTCAGGACTCCGTGTTCCCTGCTGGCCCTTGAGCCCTGCCCTGAGACCTAAATTCCCACCCTGCCCCCATCCGGCCCCACCGACGGGGAGGGGCGGGGGAAGCTGGATCTCAGGGTCATCGCAGATCCCTGGTTAGGATAGATTCCTAGGTATAGGGCAGCTCCAGAGCAAGAGGGCTGGGGGGTGGGGGGGCAAAAGATCTTGGGCTGACACTCCCAGCAGGGTAGATCCTGGGAATCTGATCTCCTGGCCTCCCCCACATCCTCCCCCCACCCCACTTCCTGGAGCAGCGACCTGCCCCCTTCCCGCCTGTACTCCCCTCCGCTTCCAGGGCTGGGCTTCTCCTCACTCCAGCCAGACAGCCTACCCTCCACCCAGGGGAAGCGGCGGCCTCCGCCAGCTGCTTCCAGGAAGCCCCGGGCCTGGCCCCAGCATTGTTCGGGCCCGCAGCGGCACCCACACAGCCGGACACCATGAAGTCCAGCGGCCCCGTGGAGAGGCTGCTCAGAGCCCTAGGGAGGAGGGACAGCAGCCGGGCCACCAGCAGGGTAGGAGTGCCCACCGGCAGGGCAGAGGAGGGCGGGGTGGAGGTGGGGGCTGTGGGGGAGGGCACCAGGAGATCACATTACGGGGCCAGACCTCTTCTTCAGCCTTCTTCCCTTACTCTCCATCCCCGTACTCTGCCCCTTTGGGGTGGCCAGGGCAGAACCGGGGTGCTTTGGCTCCTCTGTCACCTTCCTGCCCCAACACAGGCCAGCCCTGGGGGGTCCCGGCCCCTACACCTGCGTCTTGGTACGCTTCACTGTAGGACTCTCTGGGCGCTGCACTGGAGTCCAGAGCGAGGCTAAGAGAGGAGGCTCCTTCTCCAAGTGGAGGCGTTTAGGGGGAATGGGGTGAGGTGGTGACGGGAGGGAGGGAGGCAGGGAGGCGGCCAGGTCTCAGGGTTGCCTTAGGCACAGGGGCTTTGCTTTCCACTCCTCTGTGTGCCACTCATGCCAACTGCACCCAAGTTTCTTAGTGGGTCCAGCAAGGTTGGTCCAGTTTAGGAGCGTTCAGCTGCTGGTTTAACCCAGCTGTTTCAGGGACAGGCAGCCAAGAGACCAGGGGTGTGGCCTGGGTCCCCAGGCTGGGGAGCCTGGAAGCCCCCACTGTCGGAGGCTGGGGTTGGGGTATGGTTTTCTCCACATTTTTTTTCAGCTTTACCCCCAAAGCAGCATGAGACAATATTGTATATAGAAGGGAAGAAGGGGGCAGAAACTTGAACTCCAGGAGAGAAAAAATGGGCAGGAGAGAGGAGGCAAATGGTCCTCAGACAGAGGATGGGAGGAGGGAACGCTGTGGGAGGGATGGGACTGAGGCAGCCTGGGGCATAAGGGGGCATCCAGCCTCCTCATAACCTCTGACCCACTCCCTCCGCCGCTGCTGGGATCCCACTTGAACCCCCTCAAACGACAGGGTGCTCACTCCATCCAGTAGCAAGGCAGCTAAATATTTCCCCAAGGTCATGCTCCGGTCTGCCTCTCCCTCCAGCATTGCCGCCCGCCTTCTTACACAACTTCTGCCTGCAGCTTCAGTGCACAATGAGTAAACATGTTGTTCTTGGAGGGGGGGGGGGCGAGGGAGGGAGGGAGGGAGGGCCTGTCAGCTGCCTGGAGCGTGGGGACAGCAGGAGCCAGGGGACCAGGACTGGCCAAGGCCACTCCCACCAGCCAGCCTGGGTGCTGCTGAGGGACTGTCCTCTGACATGCATGTCTGGACCCCCCGCTGCTCCCTCTGCGCATGAGCCTCGGCTGGGAGGGTAAGAGGGGAGGAGAAACGGGGGGCCTCACAGGGGAGAGTAAGAGGGCCCCCTCCACGGGAGGAAAGCTCTCCGTGGGGGGCGGTGACCACGAGCGGGTCACACACCAGGGCCACGTGAAGGGCCTGAGTGATCCCTTGGGGAGGAGCTGACCCGGCGAGGGTGTTGCAACGGGCCAGATTCCATGCACTGTCAAGGACAGGCCCACAGCTGGCCGGAAACAGCTGTGGCCGGCGCGTCCTACCGGTTTAGGGACTTCAATCAGTCGGATGGAGGCAGAAAGGAACCGGTGCCATGCTCACGCCCGGCCTGACCCCAGAGACGGGCCCGCTGTGAACGGACACCTGTCTGTCTGTCCCCCGCCCCTAGCCTAGGAAAGCTGAGCCACACAGCTTCCGGGAGAAGGTTTTCCGGAAGAAGCCACCTGTCTGTGCGGTGTGCAAAGTGACCATCGATGGGACGGGCGTGTCCTGCAGAGGTGAGGCACCCTGTGCTGCAGCTGAGAGCCTCTGCCCAGCACCGCTCTGTCTCACAGCTCCAGCTGGCAGGACCGCGGAACATAAACAAGTGTGCACACCGCCCCTTGCCTGGGCAGCATGGGCACCAGGAGGCAGCTGCCCCCCTTCCCAGCAGCCCTTGCTCCCCATGGCCAACACCTCAGCAACCCAGGAGACCCCAGTACAACACCTTCCCACCCTGACTGTGACTGGGAGCTTCCCTCCCTCCCTGTCAGCGCCCCCCCTCCCCACTCCCGGCCTAGGCAGTAGTACTCCACTGCCACTCTCTGCCCCTGCTTCCCCCACTCCATCTCAGTGCGTCTGTCCTAGAAGTCACAGGGCATCTGGTTCCAGGGCCTGGGGAGACGGGAGAGGGTCACCCCAGAAGAGCCCGGCTAACCCTTCCTCTCCCTTTTCCCCTCAGTCTGCAAGGTGGCCACACACAGAAAATGTGAAGCCAAGGTGGGTACCTGGTTGGGAGGAGGGAATGGAGGTGCCTTCCTCCTCAAAACAGGCTTCTCCAGCCCCACTGGCACCACCCCTCCACCCCTCTCATCCTTGGGGAGCCCCTGCTGAGGTGGGAGAGGGTGCTGTTCGGGGCCCTTTAAGAACCACCCTACTCCACCCCCTGGAGGTCTGGCCCAGGCGAGTGGACAGCTAGACAGCGTTTGTCTTGGTGCTGTGCCCAGGCTGCAGCTGGCAAGAGAGTGGGGGTGGGGAATGAATGAGAAGGAGGAAGGGTGGGGTGGGTGGGTGGGGGGAGCAGTATTTCAGAGACTGGGCAGCCGGATGGGCCGTGCCTTCCCTCTGGGGAGGGGGCCCCAGGATGCCTGGGTGGGTCTTGTCCTCAGCCCCGGAGAGGCTGGGCAGAGGTGCAAGCTGTAGAGACGGCACACCCTGTCCACTGGGGACCTGAGACACCCCATCCCGGAGGAGGGTCCCTGGTCCCCCTCCTGCAGTATGGGGGTCCCCAGGGCCCTGGAGCCAGCTTGGGGGAGCTGTGTGCCCAGGGGCGGGGTCTGTGGTGAAAGAGGCCAGTGTCAGTGCCTGGCCGTGGCCTGCCTGCATGGCTCTATATATAACTCCTGCCCTGCAGCTGGATGAATGGGGGTCTGTGTGGGCACGGGGCTGGGAGCCAAGAGCAACAAGTGGGGGGCCTGGGCTGAGGGACCTAGGAGCCAGAGGGGAGGCTCCCTTAAATAGAGGGACTTCAGCTGGAGCCTGCACCCATCTCCTAACAGCCCCTCCACCTCGCTGACGCGGAGGGGTGGCCCCATCCTTAAGCCCAGCAGAGCCCGCTTCACCGGGAGCTTAGCCCCTCACTCAGGTCTCCTTCCAGGTGACTTCGTCCTGCCAGGCCGTGCCTCCTGCAGAGCTGGTGAGTGAGCGCTGGGACGGAAGGGGGGGGCGAGGAACCTGGCTGCAGGGTCCAAAAGTCTGGTGGCCACAGGGGGAGGGGCGGGAGGAGGGAGGGCAGAGTTACCTTGAATGGACTGCTGTGGGTATGGCTCATCCTGAGACAGAAGGAAACAAGGTCGCAGCCTTCTCTCTTCTCCTCTGAGCTCTTGGGTGTAGGACTCTCCTCCCTTTCCCAATAGAGCCTTTCCGGGGACCGGGCAGGCGGTCTCCGCTTTCCCGGGGCCCAGACGGGGCCTTGCTCCTCTCCTAACCACCCCTTCTCCCGCCCCGCCCGCCCCGCCCGCCTCTAGCGGAGAAACACGGCCCCCGTGAGGCGCATAGAGCACCTGGTAGGTGATGCTGGAGGGGGCGGGGTGGGGGCGGGAGCAGGAAGCGCTGGAAGTATGGGAGGAAGGACTAGGTTTCCCTTAGCCGGTTTGGCTCAGTGGATAGAGCATCGGCCTGCAGACTGAAGGGTCCGGGGTTCAATTCCGGGCACATACCTATTGGGGGGTGTGCAAGAGGCAGCTGATCGATGATTCTCTTTCATCGATGTTTCTGGCTCTCCGTAAAATTAAAAAAAAAAAGAAGAAGAAGAACCTAGGCCTCTTCTGAGGACAAAAGTTCTTAGATCTCTGGAGTGGGGACCCTAGAACCCTAGAGTGTGGAGGATTGTGGGGGAAGACACCCAAAGAGACGCTTGCTCATCATCTCGTCTCATCCTCCAGGGATCCACCAAGTCTCTGAACCACTCCAAGCAGCGCAGCACTCTGCCCAGGTAAGTGCGGGCGCCGAAGGTGGTCCCACCGGAGCCCCTGACGCCGTCCCCACCCCTCAGCCAGGGGCAGGGGCCCCAGCAAAACCCCCTGGGACAGCTCCACCCGCCCAAGCGGCTTCACCCACCCTGGGGACCAGGAGGCCTCACGCGCCCACCGTCAGACAGACACCCATCCATCCCACCGGCCCTCCGGGACCCCGCCCCTCCGTCCCACACGCGGCCTCACACCTTCCAGGAGCTTCAGCCTGGACCCCCTCATGGAGCGCCGCTGGGACCTGGACCTCACCTACGTGACCGAGCGGATCCTGGCCGCCGCCTTCCCGGCGCGGCCGGACGAGGAGCGGCACCGGAGCCACCTGCGCGAGCTGGCTCACGTGCTGCAGTCCAAGCACCGGGACAAGTACCTGGTGAGGGCGGGGCCTGCCGCCCCCAGCGAATGGGAGGGCTGGGAGGCCTGTACGGGCTAGGCTGCGCCCTGACGTCACGCCCTCGGAGGCGGGGCCCGGGGCAGCTGGAACCGCCCTGGAGTGCCCACGACTCTCTGTCGCGGCGGGCAGGGCCCTGGCAACCTCCTCATTCTGGAGAAGGACTCTTAGGGTCACTGCGGGCGTTACCATCTTCATGCGTCAGGTCTAAAGCCTCCCCCCTTTTCTTGCAGTTCTTCAACCTTTCGGAAAAAAGACACGACCTGACCCGCCTAAATCCCAAGGTAGGAAGGCATTAAAGCCATCAAACAGAATCTTCCCCACACAAGAAGCCCCCAGCCTCCTGGTTATTAATAGTAGCAACTGGTATCTACTTCACGCTTAAGCACGTTATCATATGACATATATTTGAGTCACCCCAAAGCATGGTGCCACGGGTATCAACCCACTGCATAGAGGAGGAAAGTGGTGAGGCTGCTGTGGACAGCCAAGAGGCCGACCTTGCCCCAGACCCATACACCCTGTCCCTTTTCCATCCATCTCTCTTGGCTGTGGCCCCCCTCCAAGTTTCACCCCTGCACCCCCCACCCCCAGGTCCAGGACTTCGGTTGGCCTGAGCTGCACGCACCCCCCCTGGACAAGCTGTGCTCCATCTGCAAAGCCATGGAGACCTGGCTCAGTGCTGACCCACAGCATGTGGTCGTACTGTACTGCAAGGTGGGCTGGGACCTCGGGTTTGCAGGGCCGGGCTGTCCTCAGCCTGGGGTCCCAGCAGGCCCTGCATCCCTGTCTCTCTTCTCAGGGGAGCAAGAGCAAGCTCGGGGTCATCGTCTCTGCCTACATGCACTACAGCAAGATCTCCGCAGGGTGAGGCTCCTGGCCCTTGAGTGGCCCCTTCCCCAATGGCCCTTCCTCCAGCTGGTCCTTGGCCAGCCCATTCCCCCTGAAGCCCCACCTCTGTGTTCAGAGAGCCATGTACCAATAACCTGACATTGCCACCTCCTTTTTCTCACTTGTACTTCATCACAGTTCTCTGGGGCAGCCACGAACTAAGTGGCTTAAGACAGCAGAAATTGATTGTCTCCATTCTGGAGGCTAGAAATCTAAAACTGAGGCTTCCGCAGGACCTCACTCCCTCTGAGACTCCGGGCAGAAACCTTCCTTGCCTCCTCCTAGCTCCTGGTGGTGGCCAGCAATCCTTAGTGCTCCTTGGCTTGTGGCTGCATCCCTCCAATCTCTGCCTCCGTCGTCACGTGACCTTCTCTCTGTGTGTCTGTGTTTCTTCTCTTCTTCTAAGGACACCAATCATATTGGATTAAGGGCTCACCCTACTCCAGTATGACACCTTAACTAATTACATCTGCAACGACCCTATTGCCAAATCAGGTCACATTCTGAGGTATATATATCTTTTTGGGGGACACAGTTCAACCCATAACATGGCTAATTGCCCCATTTTACAGATGAGGAAATTAAAGCTCAGGGAACAACTGTTTGAGGTCCAGCAACTAGTAAAGCGACTTATGTGGGGTTTCTAGTTCTCGTTACCACTACAATAAGTTTTCTCTAGATTTGGGGGTCCCCTCTCTCATCCTCCCCTGGGGCTTAGAGATGGGAGACCAGGATGGAGACCATCCCCTCACCCCCTGCACTTATTTGCTCTCCCCAGGGCGGACCAGGCACTGGCCACTCTTACCATGCGGAAGTTCTGTGAGGACAAGGTGGCCGCGGATCTGCAGCCCTCCCAGCGCCGGTGAGCCACCTGGGTGGGGACAGGCCGGAGGAGTAGTCTCTCCATGGCTACCAAGGTCAAGTTTTTCTCACTCACATAGCACACTTTAACGGGCACCTGGATGTGCCAGGCACTGGGCCAAGTGCTGAGCATTCAGAACAAACAAGATCCTTGCTTTTACGGACCTTACATTCCAGGGGAGTAGAAGGCAATAAACCTGTGATGAATAGACAAGATCGTGTTGGAGGATGACAAGTGCTATGAAGAAAATAAAGCTGAGTCTTATTTTAGAGACTTGCAGCCCGGCTAGTGTGGTTAGGTGGTTGAGCATTGACCTATGAACCAAAAGGTCACCGGTTCAATTCCTGGTCAGGGCACATGCCCAGCTTGTGGGTTCGATCCCCAATAGAGGGCATGCCGGAGGCAGCCAATCAATGATTCTTTCTCACCAATGTTTCTATCTCTCTATCCCTTTCCCTTCTTCTCTAAAAATCAATAAAAACATATTTTATTTTGGTATATATTTTATTGATTTTTTACAGAGAGGAAGGAAGAGGAATAGAGAGCTAGAAACATCTATGAGAGAGAATCATCGACCAGCTGCCTCCTGCACACCCCCTACCAGGGGTATGCCCACAACCAATGTAAATGCCCTTGACCGGAATCGAACCTGGGACCTTTCAGTCTGCAGACCAATGCTGTATCCACTGAGCCAAACCAGTTTCGGCAATAAAAACAGACTTAAAAAAAAAAAAAACATAAAAAAGAAACTTGCAGGTTCCGTCTCTAAGGTCTGGGAGAAGAGCATTCTAGGCAAAGGGGGCAGCAAGCATAAAATCTTGAAGCAGCAGGAAGGGTTGAGGTTAGATACAAGGGAGAACTTTCCGGTGGCTGGAATGGGAGGGAAGTGCTGAGGAGAAGGGCAGGCCTTCTAAGGGTGGGTGGGAGGTGTGCACAGTTGAAGTGCTAAAAGGGGACCTCCAGAGGAAGGGGCTTATGTTCTTCTTGACACCCCCTCCCTCCCCCCCAGATACATCAACTACTTCAGCGGCCTGCTGTCTGGCTCCATCAGAATGAACAGCAGCCCTCTCTTCCTGCACTATGTGCTCGTGCCTGTGCTGCCAGCCTTTGAGCCTGGCACAGGTGAGTCTGCCTGGGATGTACGCCATGGGGGGCTGTTCCCCCACCTCCGTCACTCAGTCCTCCTCATGTGCCTTCTTGCCCTTCTAGGCTTCCAGCCCTTCCTCAAGATCTACCAGTCCATGCAGCTCGTCTACACATCTGGAGTCTAGTGAGTGCTGTGCTCCCATCCCCTGCTCCCCTGGGCCCCAGCTCCCTGTTTTTCCAGCCTCCCCAAGCACCTAGGCCTCCAGCTCTAGCCACTGAACCGGAAACTGACACCACCATGGAGTCCCTTTCATAGATGGGGAAGCTGAGGCTCAGCTAAAGGTCTCTCACTCAGGGCTCAGACTCCCCTCTCCCAACTGCCTTCTGACTCTTCCCACTGAGCCTGAGGGCTTCTCACTCCGCTCTGCCTTCCCCTCTTTTCCAGTCACATCGCAGGCCCTGGTCCCCAGCAGCTTTGCATCAGCCTGGAGCCAGCCCTCCTCCTCAAAGGGGACGTCATGGTGAGGGGCCTTGGCAACAAGAGGAGGCTTGGAGATGGGCCGACGGGTGGTACTGTCATCTCCTGCCAGCAGCACAAGCTCTAGTGAATTATGAAATCAATCCATATTGGAGAGGGAAGGGAGGTCCCCTACACGGGGGTCACCTTGAGGCTGAGGCCAGGCAGGGCTGTGGGCAGGCACCCCAAAGGGTAGAACCACAGAGGAGGGGGAAGTGGACGTGAGGACCTGACCCCAGGCGCCCTCGCCAGGTGACGTGCTATCACAAGAGTGGCCGGGGGACAGACCGGACCCTGGTGTTCCGAGTCCAGTTCCACACGTGCACCATCCACGGGCCACGGCTCTCCTTTCCCAAAGACCAGCTGGACGAGGCCTGGACGGGTGAGTCGGAGACAAGTGGTGTGAGGGCCAGGTCCCAGGAGAGGGCAGGCGGGCGGGGGACCTGGCTTCTCACTGTCCGCTCCTCACAGATGAGAGGTTCCCCTTCCAAGCGTCAGTGGAGTTCCTCTTCTCCTCCAGCCCCGAGAAGATGAAAGGTAAGCGCAGGCCCGGGGGCAGGCAAGGCTGAAGGCCGAGGGCCTGCTTCTCACCACGGGGGCCTCCCGCAGGCAACACCCCCCGGAACGACCCCGCCGTCACCGTGGACTACAACACGGCCGAGCCCGCTGTGCGCTGGGACTCCTACGAGAACTTCAACCAGCACCACGAGGACAGCGCGGAAGGTGTGTGCAGCGGCCCACCGGCGGCGGCGGGAGGGGAGGTTGGGGGGGTTGGGGGGGTGCACTCCTTCCTCCCCAAGCAGGTCTGCCTGCCTCCCAAGAGACAGCCGCTGAGCCGGAGTCTCCAGGGCTGTCCCCCCTCACTAACACTCTTTCTCCTTTTCCTGCCTGACACCCTTCCTCTCCCCACTCAGGCTCCCTGACCCACACGCGTGGCCCCCTCGATGGCAGCCCCTACGCCCAGGTGCAGCGGGCCCCCCGCCAGACTCCGCCGGCGCCTTCTCCGGAGCTGCCCCCAGCCCCGCTGCTGTCCATCAGCAGCGACTCCGGCCATTCGTCCACCATCACCACCGAGCCAGCGGCGGAGTCCCCCGGCCGGCCGCCCCCCACGGCTGCCGAGCGGCAGGAGCTGGACCGCCTCCTGGGAGGCTGCGGGGTGGCCGGCGGCGGCCGGGGGGCCGGGCGCGAGACGGCGATCCTGGATGACGAGGAGCAGCCCCCCGCCAGCGGAGGCGCCCACCTTGGGACGTACGCGGGCCACCGACCTGCCCTCAGCCGCCACTGCTCCTGCCGCCAGGGCTACCGGGAGCCCTGCGGGGTCCCCAATGGGGGCTACTACCAGCCAGAGGGCACCCTGGAGAGGCGGCGGCTGGCCTATGGGTACGAGGGGCCGGCCCAGGGCTATGCCGAGGCCTCCGTCGAGAAGAGGCGCCTCTGCAGGTCGCTGTCCGAGGGGCCGTACCCCTACGCCCCGGAGCTGGGGAAGCCGGCCGGCGGGGACTTCAGCTACCGCGCCCCAGGCTACCGGGAGGTGGTGATCCTGGAGGAGCCTGGGCTGCCCACCGCCCTGTGTTCCTGCCCCGCTTGTCAGGAGAAGCTGGCGCTGCCCACCACGGCTCTGTATGGGCTACGGCTGGAGAGGGAGGCTGGAGAGGGGTGGGCGAGCGAGGCCAGCAAGCCTCTCCTGCACCCCGTGCGGCCCGGGCACCCGCTCCCCCTGCTGGTGCCAGCTTGCGGGCACCACCATGCCCCAATACCTGACTACAGCTGCCTGAAGCCACCCAAGGCAGGCGAGGAAGGGCACGAGGGCTGCTCCTATGCCCTGTGCCCAGAAGGCAGGTATGGGCATCTGGGCTACCCTGCCCTGGTGACCTACGGCTATGGAGGCGCGGTTCCCAGTTTCTGCCCAGCGTATGGCCGGGTGCCCCACAGCTTCGGCTCTGCGGGCGAGGGCAGAGGGTACCCCAGCCCTGGGGCCCACTCCCCACGGGCTGGCTCCGTGTCGCCGGGCAGCCCACCCTACCCACCATCCAGGAAGCTGAGCTACGAGATCCCTGCAGAGGAGGGAGGGGACAGGTATCCGCTGCCCGGCCACCTGGCCCCAGCAGGACCCCTGACATCTGCAGGTGAGGGGCCCTGGGGTGGGAAGTGCCCCGGGCAGAGGAGGGCTCTAGAATATGGTTGGGAAGGAACAGAGCGAAAGACCTAAGCCAGGCAGAGGCCTGTTCCTGGCTCACGGCCTCTACTCTCCCCTTCCCTGCAGAGTCGCCTGAGCCGGCGCCCTGGAGGGAGGGCCCCAGCAGGCACAGCACCCTGCCTCGGTCTCCCCGAGATGCCCCGTGCAGTACCTCTTCAGAGATGTCTGGTCCCTCCACACCCCTGCACACCAGCAGCCCGGTCCAGGGCAAGGAAAGGTAGGCAAGCAGCTCTTTGCCCCACACACTGAAGGCTGGGGTGGGGGGGCAGCTCACCACTGGGGACTCTGGGGCCCTGCTGACTACCTGCCCTCCCTCCCCACAGCACCCGGCGGCAGGACACCAGGTCCCCCACTTTGGCGCCCCCTCAGAGACTGAGTCCTGGCGAGCCCTTGCTGCCTGTCCCCCAGCGGGGCGCTGAGAAGCCTCCTGAGCTGCCAGCAAGAAGTGGGCTTGAGCCTCCAACCCCAAGCCCCTTATCCCCGACCTCCCCGCCCAGCTCACCCAACGACTGGCCTCAGGAGAGGAGTCCTGGGGGTCGCTCAGACAGTGGCAGCCCTAGGGGCCCTGTGCCCACCACGTTGCCCGGCCTCCGCCACGCCCCCTGGCAGGGCCTTCGAGAGCCACCGGACAGCCCGGACGGGTCCCCCCTCACGCCTGTGCCTACCCAGATGCCCTGGCTTGTGGCCAGCCCTGAGCCACCTCAGAGCTCACCCACGCCTGCCTTCCCCGTGGCAGCATCCTATGATATCAATGGCCCCACCCAGCCCCCACTTCCTGAGAAACGCCACCCGCCAGGGCCTGGGCCGCAGCCGGGCCCCTGGGGCCCAGGGCAGGCATCACCACCAGCCAGAGGCACCAGTCACCACGTCACCTTCGCACCTCAGCTCCCAGATAACACCCCTCAGCCCCCAGGTATAAAGGCCTCGAGGAAGGGGTGCGGGGGGGGGGGGCATCTTGGAAGAGACCTTTTTCCCAGGGGTGGGCATGGCGTGGGCACTTGGGAGCCCTGGGGCCAAGCTCAGTCCTTCCCTGCCCCAGAGCCTCCCCTGCAAGAGAGCCAGAGCAACGTCAAGTTTGTCCAGGATACGTCCAAGTTCTGGTACAAGCCACACCTGTCCCGTGACCAAGGTGAGAAGCCAGCCTGCCCACCGCTCCCACCCTCCAGGGCTCTGTCTGGGCTTTGCCCGATCCAGCCAGCCTTCCAGTTGGCGCCCTTACTGCCTCCACCCGTCTCAGTGTTGACTCTGAGCGGAGCGCCTCACTAGCAGGTGATTCTCGGCTTTGTGCCCAAGGAGATGTACACTTGATGTTGTCAGCACCCTCCCTGTTGATTCTAAAGTCCTGTGCCCAGATGCCCAACACTGCCCCAGCTGTTAGGACAGCGCCTGGGGAGCTGGCTGGCAGAGCCGAGGAGCGGCCGCCTGGGGCTCAGCCAGCCACTGTGAATGAACACTTCTGCCTCCCCCAGCCATCGCCCTGCTGAAGGACAAGGACCCTGGGGCCTTCCTCATCAGGGATAGCCATTCATTCCAAGGAGCCTACGGGCTGGCCCTCAAGGTGGCTACACCCCCACCCAGTGCTCAGCCCTGGAAAGGTACAGAACCCCCAGACCCAAAGGGGGTGGGGAGTGGGGTGGGGCAGGCACAGTGGCAGGACAAGGGGTGGCGGGCCTGCCCCTTCTTGGTGGGAGGGACAGGAAGTGACTCTCAGGAGCTGGAAAGAATCCCAGCAGGATGGAGGCAGGAACCTGGAATCTGATAAAGCCTCTCTCTCCCCTCCCGGGCTCTCAGGGGACCCCTTGGAACAGCTAGTCCGCCATTTTCTCATTGAGACCGGGCCCAAAGGCGTGAAGATCAAGGGTTGTCCCAGCGAGCCCTACTTTGGTGAGAAGCTGGGGCCGGGGAGGCCACGCTGGGTGGGTCTAGGGAGGCCAAGGGATTTCAGGAGGGTGGGGGGAAGGTTGGGGCTACCTGCGGGCACCCCAGGACTTCTCTCACGTCTCTGCAGGCAGCCTCTCCGCCCTGGTCTCCCAGCACTCCATCTCCCCCCTGTCCCTGCCCTGCTGCCTGCGCATTCCCAGCAAAGGTGGGTGTTTTGTCTGTCCTCCCCGCCCACCGCAGCCTGCCTTCCTTTGGGATGGCAGAGGGAGTTCTGCAGCTCTCTCCAATGCCACTCCCTGCTGACCTGCCTGCTGGCTCTTCTCTTCAGATCCTCTGGAGGAGACCCCGGAGATCCCAGTGCCTGCCAACATGAGCACGGCGGCAGACCTCCTGCGGCAGGGCGCCGGTAGGGCCTCTCCCTCCCTGGGCACCACGGGGCACTGCAGACACAGGCACAGCACACGGAAAGGCCTCGAGATGGACGGGCCCTGCAGAGGCTTTTAAGCCATAAGGCAGGGGAGCCTCATCTTTGTAGGGAGGTTGGATAAGGAGGTCCCCAGTCTGGGTTCTCAAAGTTTTGTGAACATGAGAATCCTGGGGAGGGGGCTCGTCGGAATGCAGGTTCTCAGGCCCAGTCCCAGCATCTCTGACTGTAGATCTAGGGGTCATAGAATCTGCCTTTTTTTTTTTTTTTTTTTTTTTTTACAGAGAGGAAGAGAGAGGGATAGAGAGCTAGAAACATCGATGAGAGAGGAACATCGACCAGCTGCCTCCTGCACACTTCCCACTGGGGATGTGCCCGCAACCAATGTACCTGCCCTTGACTGGAATTGAACCTGGGACCTCTCAGTCCGCAGGCCAATGCCCTATCCACTGAGCCAAACTGGTTTTGGCAGAATCAGCTATTTTTAATAGTTACCTTTGTGCCGAAACCGGTTTGACTCAGTGGATAGAGCATCAGCCTGCGGAATCAAAGGTCCCAGGTTCGATTCCGGTCAAGGACATGTACATTGGCTGCGGGCACATTCCCAGTTGGGGGTGTGCAGGAGGCAGCTGGTCGATGATTCTCTCTCATCGATGTTTCTAGCTCTCTGTCCCTCTCCCTTCCTCTCTGTGAAAAATCAATAAAATAGATTTTTTTAAAAAAAGTTACCTTTGTGATTCCAATGCATTTTGAGCAGAGCTAGCCAGGGAAAAGTACAAGAGCTGGTGGGGAGGAGGGGTAGGGGAGACAACTCTCAGGGCTGATGGAGCCAGTGCTCCCCCACAACCCTCTTCTTGTCCCAAAGCCTGCAGTGTGCTCTACCTGACTTCCGTGGAGACCGAGTCACTGACGGGCCCCCAGGCGGTTGCCCGGGCAAGCTCGGCAGCTCTGGGCTGCAGCCCCCGCCCGACACCAGCTGTAGTGCACTTCAAGGTCTCAGCCCAGGGCATTACCCTGACAGACAACCAAAGGAAGTGAGTGTGTGCCCTGAGCGCCTGGGGAATCCCAAACACAGGCCCTTGGGACCCCAATTTCTGGGTGTGACTCCCCCTTCCCTCCTCTTCACAGGCTTTTCTTTCGCCGCCATTATCCAGTGAACAGCATCACCTTCTCCAGCACTGACCCTCAGGACCGGAGGTGACTCTCCCTCCCGCCCTTTCCCCGCATCGGGCCCTGCAAACCAGGCCCCTGGCCAGCTCCTCCTCTGGTAGCCATTCCCTGGGGTGCATTCATCACACTTCTTTTCCTTCTGCAGATGGACCAACCCCGATGGAACCACCTCCAAGTAAGCTTCCCATCAGTGCAATCCCTTTCCTCCACGGGATTGACGTGTCTCCTTCCTCCCCGCTCCGGCTCTGTATCCCTTGGGGAAGGGTGCTGAGCCCCCACCTGACCACCTTTGTCCCCCTAGGATCTTTGGCTTCGTGGCCAAGAAGCCGGCAAGCCCCTGGGAGAATGTGTGTCACCTCTTCGCAGAGCTTGACCCCGATCAGCCTGCAGGCGCCATTGTCACCTTTATCACCAAAGTTCTACTGGGCCAGAGGAAATGAAGGAAGGCCACAAGCTCAGAGCCCACACCAACACTGTGTCCCTCCCAGCACCCCACAGCCCTCACTTCCCCCGGCCTGGGCCCAGGAGCCGGCCCTCTCCCTTAGGAATAGGCAGTGGGCACCAGCCTGGGACACTGCTCCCCTTCCCCGCCCCAGCCTGCTAAGCTAAGTGGACGGGCCCACGAGATGACCTTGCACGTGAGCAGATGGCAGAGATGGGCATGTGAAGGGTGAGGAAGCGATCAGGACAGCCCCACCTGTACGTCAGCCCTGGAGAGGAGCCAGTTCCACCCAGCCGCAGGTCCCAGCATGGCGGGGAGAGGGGAGCAGGGTGGGGAGCAACGTACTCCCTCCTCTGCCTTCTCCGAGCAGAAGGATCAGAGTGGGATCACAGGAAAAGGGGGGGGAAAGAGTCTATTTTTGTCTAATAATAAAGAATTTCTATAATGTCTACGTGGAGTTGGAGCCGTGTCTATTCACAGGAAGGACAAAGCCCACATCTCCCGGGGGCGTGCCTGTGGGAGAGCCAGGTCCACGGAGCACACGCAGCCCCATCCTGGGCCTCACGCTGGTCCACGAGTCCTAGCGAGCAAGCTGCCCTCGGCTGCCCCCACCTCAGCCCTGTCCCCCAGCCCTGTGCACTGGAAAGGACTCCTGTGTCCTGGCCATGCTGATAAATATGGAAACTCCATCTTTATTGGCTGTATAAACATCTCTGTCTGTACATACATTTCATACATCATAGTGCAGGGACCGAAGGGAGGGCCCACGGGGCAGCCCCAGCAGCACAACAGCTACCCCCCTATCCCCAGAGCCCTATCCGCTCTGTGCAAACCACGGCCGACAGCTCCTGCTCCCGCTTCCTCCCAGGAGGAGTCACTGTATAGAGAGGGGGTCAGAGGTCAAGGGGCTAGGAGACAAGAGGTCTTGGTGGGGGGAGACACGCCACCAAGAATCAAACACTGAAGCAAAACGGACAACTGGCACAGGCAGCAAGCAGGGAGGAAGGGGGGAGGAGTCCAGCTACCCGTGGGGACGCTGGTGAGGGCACTGGAGTCCGGCCCTCTCTACCACAGGAGAGGCATGCTCAGCCTGCATCCCAGGGAACTAGACACAAGGGGGCCACCGGCAGACGAAGGCTGGCAAGGGGAGAACGGGAACAAAGGCCTCAGTCTCTGTCCCCCGCCTGCAGCCCCTCTCTCACACCACTAAACACTCATTTCTGTATGTCCGGCTGGGGAAGTCGGAGACTGAGCTTCTGTGGAACTCTGGTGCCTGAGCAGGTAGGTGGTGAGGGAGAAAGCGGTTCTCAGGAGAAAGGACAGAGACTCGAGGGACAGCAGTGAGTGGAAGGAGAGAGGGCCCCCTGGCCCAGCCAGGGGATGATAGCAGCAACTGATTCCCATGAGGAGGACAGGGAACACAAAAGAAGAAATGCAAGAAGAAATACTGTGGGAAATAGGGGAGGGGCTGTCTGCTCCGCCCTCTGCAGAGCCTCAGGCCCAGTAGCTGAGGCAGGTGCTCCCTCCCCTCCGCCCACATGGGCAGTGGGGGCAGTGGGACGTGGAGCCCCTGACCAAAGCGAGTGGGACCCACAGATATGACACTACGTTTGGGTCTGCCCCGTCCAACCAGGGACTAGGGCCCAGGGACTGATGATAGGGGTGGCACGGGGTCAGAAATATGGGCGCAGAATGGCTTGGCAGGGGCCTAACCTGGTAGGGGCAGAGTGACGATACACCCTTGGGGCCTCAGGTAAAGAAATCCTCAGGGAAGTCAGGAACTGGGCACCTGGTCCTGTGAAGGGACAGGAGAGAGAGAAGGGGCCGGCGTGTGAGAAAAGTCCCTAGCCACTCAAGGGGTGCAGGTCCACTTTGACTTTCTCGCCACAGCTCAGCATTCCGATGGTGGGGAAGAAGCCCCCAGAGGGTACAACAGCATCCTTCTTCCCGATGATCTTGCCATTCCGAGTAAAGAACACCTGGCGGGGGGGGGAGAAGAATGGAGCGGGCAGCTCTGGCCTATTCTCTGAGGACGTACCAGCTAGCTACACAGGACTGAACCCCACTCACTCCCAAACCCCAGCATCGCTCTAGGAGAGACTTGGGATGATGCAAGAAGTGACCACAAGAGGGCGTCCTAAGGCTGGAAACCAAGTCTCAGCAACTCGGCACACCCAATGCCTCAGAACAGGGCACACCCACAGCAGGGCCAGGCCTTCCCTCTTCCCTCCCCTGGCTCCACTTTCTATTCCTAACAACGCCAGCCCTTGCCCAGGCCCAAGAACCCTAGTCCAACCCCAAACCCTCCACACTCACCACCACCTTCTTGCCCTCATGCTCCTGCTCTATCTCTTCCCCATCTTCTTCCTCTTCCTCTTCCTCCTCTTCCTCTTCCCCTTCCTGGTGCAGGTACATAACGTTCCGAACATTCCGGACAGCTCGGGCAGTCGGGGACAGGATCACCGTGTCACAACTGTCATCACTGTCACCTAGGAAACCAGAAAACCTGAGCTCCTGGAGTACGGCCCCCACTCTCCACCCTCCACCCGACCAGCTTGGTTGCCCCACCCCACTCACCCTCACTGTCCAGAATGTAGTCCCGCGGGAACATGATCCCACAGCCCATAATGTCCCCTTTGTAACAGCGTGGCCCAAAGGGGTCCCCCACACCACTGCCATGGAAGATCTTCCCATCGTCTGTTGGAGGGAGAGGAGAGCATACAGTGAAGGAGAGGCTGACACACACACACACACACACACCCAGCAGCCCCGGCTTGAAGTTGACGTTTCATCTTTCTGGCCCAGAGGAAGGGGGAAGACAGGTGAAACAAAGATTTAGAGACAGAAGCGGGAAGAGGGCTCCACATTAAAAAATACAATAGAAAGAGCCCAGCTGGTGTGGCTCAGGTTGAGCATTGACCTATGAACCAGGAGGTCATGGTTCAATTCCCAGTCAGGGCACGTGCCCAAGTTGCGGGCTTGATCCTCAGTAGGGGGTTTGTAATGATTCTCTCTGGTCATTGGTGTTTCTATCTCTCTCCCTCTACCTTCCTCTCTGAAATTAATAAAAATATATTTTAAAAAATATAGAGAGAGACAATGAGGGCCCATTTCAAGAGCTAAGGAGGAGAGTCCTCAGGGAGCTGGTCAGAGGGGAGGGGAGCAGGTGGGACCAGGAACTCCCGGTTTGTTCTTTCTAAAGAAAGCTCCAAAGGAAATCAAGATGACCAAAAAAAGAAAATGCAGAATCTGCAGGAAGGGCACAGAGGGAGCCAACTCAGAGGCCTGGAATGTCCAGTTTGGGCCCAGATCCCCGCCCTGGCTCTGCTCCCCGGGCTTTTAGGGCTTGGAGGAAAAACACAGATGAGGAGAAAGCAGTTTGGAAGGAAAGCAGATGACAGCAGGGAAAAGCTCTCCAGCCAGAAGCTGGAGGAGAGGCCACTTGGGGGGGCCAGGAAAATGGATGTCCCTGAGTCTCTACATCTCTCAACCCCAGCTTCCCCAGGGCAGCCCCTGCTCACCTGCATGATAAGCCACAGACCCTCTGCTCCAGCCAGGGTGCCTGTTCTTGGGATAATCCTGCACAAAAAAGGAGAAAGAAAACCTGTGTACAATGACAAAAGAGGACAGGAGTGGGGAGCATGTGAACCTTCAGTCTTCTGGAATAGGCTACAAGCCAGACGGCTGCTCACCACCCTGCAGCCTCACCCCTGCAGGGGAAGCAGGGAAGGTGAGAAGGGTTCTTGGCTTTCCTGGCCTGGGCTGCAAGCTGTCCCCACCCCACCCCCAGGGCTCAGTGCGTGTGATGCAGTCACAACACTCTCAGTCCTAGGTCACTTGGGGTCTGTACCCTTACACGGCAGACACACACAACCAGGCTCTGTCTCAGATTTACCAGGATCCCCAGCCCCACCCCAAAGCCCCAGAGCTGAGAAGCCCCACAGGCAAAAAGCAGCATCGTGCCCACCTTCCGGGCCAGCCCCAGGGCGATGTAGCATTTCTCTCCGGGGTCTACGATCTCCACCTCGAAGTAGTGGCTCCGGGTGCTCAGTGGGTGCCGGGCCTGGGCCAGCCCTACATCCACGATGCTCTTGCCCTTGCCCAAGTACTCCAGCAGCTGCGGGGGAGAGGGGGGGGGAGGATAAGGAGGCAGGCTCACACGGCCCTGGAAACCTGGTCCCAAGGCCATCTGGGGACCAGTTTCCTGTGTCTGACAAAAAGCCCTGGCTGAAAGGTAAAAGATTGGGCCTTAGTGTTCTGGGCAGGCATGGGAGAAGAGAGATGGGGCTAGGGTAGCAACGACAGCAGCATGAGCGAGAAGGCTGAGCCCCTTGCAGAATGCTGCACCTGCCTGCCTACTGAGCCTTGTTTTGGGGGAGACAGGGAGAGCAGCACAGCAATGCGGATGGCTGAGTGCTGGGAACCACAGGCTACATCATCACTTCCCTGGACAGCCCTGCGGGGAAAGGCACACCCTGAACAAGAGGAAAGGTGAAGTGAAGACGAGGCTCTGAGGAGACCTGGCCACTTTCATGGAGGGCCTAATGTGGACAGGTAAGATGCCCACGCCAGGTGTTCGGGGGAGGGGAGAGAAGCTCAGAAGCCAATTCCGTCTGGGATGAAACTGAAATAATTCTCAAGGTGTTTGTTTTATTTGACTTCAGACTGAGCTGTGCATGGCTGGGGTCGGGGAGGTGCCAGAGGACTCAGGTCAGCTCTCCTCCTTCATTTAACGTGAGGGAGGGAGCCGCACAACAAAGCTAGGGAGACAAACTCTCCAGTCCCAGCCCCTCGTGGTGTGTGTGTATATATATAATTATTGATTTCAGACAGGAAAGAGGAGGGAGGGAGAGAGAAAGAGAGAGAGAGAGAGAGAGAGAGAGAGAGAGAGAGAGAGAGAGAGAGAGAGGGAGAGAGAGAATGAGAATCACTGATTGGCTGCCTCCTGCATGCCCCCTACGGGGGATCAAACCCACAACCCGGGCATGAGCCTTTGACTAGAAATCGAACCCAGGACCCTTAGTCCCCAGGCCCATGCTCTATCCACTGGATCAAACCAGCTAGGACCCCTCGTGGCTCTTTGAAGCTGGAGCAAAGGTGTGGAGAGGGAATGAGAGGGAAGATGACTGAAGGGCTCTTCAGTCCACAATGGTCCTGCCTGGGCATGATGGGGTGGCAACTCCAATCTGGGAGGATTTATTTGTCAGTCGCCATGGTAATAACAGAACTATGACTCAACTCCATTCCCTCTTTCTCCCCACCTTCAGCCTCGCCTGGGATTCCTTAATCCCTTTTTCATTAGCCAAACTGCCCCTTAAGACTTTCTTCTACCTTCCCACCCTTCCAGCCCTGAAGAATACACTTTCCCTGGGGACCTCCTTCACATACTCCTGGACGCCTTGGGACGCTGGCCTCTCGCCCCACCAAAGCACCTGCCTGAACAGGAAAGGGATTGTGCTCACCGGCAACAACAAGGAAGCCTGTCTTCGGCATCCCCTTCAGAGAGGAAATATAGGGACTTGGTCCCCTTCTCAGCTCTGGGTTCCCAAAGCCCTGCCACCACAAGCCCAGCCTCCCTTCTCTGCCAAAGAGAACTGGAGGCGGGGATGGGGGCGGGTGTCAGGGTAAAAGCCAGGGATGTACAGACCATCTAAACCCACACCCAGGCCGACTCTCCTCTCCTTCCTGCAGCCAGGGCCTTATGCTCTAGCCCAGTCTTCTCCACACATCGATCGCACCGCTTTGTTTCACCAGAGCCGGGTGCCCTGCGTCATCTGCTGGACTTCTGGACACTGATTAAGACCCACAATGTTTAGATCCTGCTCATGGTCCTCTGCGTGTTCTCTGCTTGGCCTGGGTTCCTGCTCTGCACCTCTCCCCACAGCCGGAAGGGCTGTAGCTTGATGCACACTAATGAGCTTCCATCCCACCCAGTCCGAGCTGCCCCCAGACCACCCTCTCCACCCAGCATTGCAGAACTGGGTGGGAGACTCCACAGCTGCCCTTGACCCACTCCATCCAACTGGCCTCAGCGTAGACAGCAAAGTGTTCTCCACTCCCAAAGCCAAGAGACGGCGGATCCAGACCCTGATCCTTGGGAAAAGCCCATCCAACCATTCCCTCTAGCTCAGCCCCGAGAAGGGCAGCGCTGCAGACTCGTCTATGGACAGCCTTCCGCTAAAGGGCCAGGAAGATAAAACACACTAACAGGCACTCACAGAGTTCAGGCAGACTGCTGACGGCCTGCTGGACTAGACCCCTGCACAATGTGCCCTCTTCAAGAGAGGGGCCACCCACCCCTCAGGACAGAAGCCACCCCAATTCATCTGGTCCTCTTGGATCCACTCACCTGCTCCTGGGCAAAGTCCCCCCCAAGCTTTCCAGAACCTTCTCAGAGAACTTAAGGGATGGAGTGAGGGGAAGTTTGGCCTTCCTGACCATCCTTGCTTCAATCCACTCCTCCCCTCCTTAGACTAGGGCTATTAGGCACCTAGAGGAGAGTCTTAGTTGTAAAGCCTGATGCTGGTCCCTTATCTGTGCCTCAGATGCCTTAGTTTGAAAGAGAATCAATCAGACCTGGGTGCAGATCCTAACTCCTATTTCTTACTGGCCACTAACCTTGAGCACTTCCTTAAGCCTAAGTTTCTTCATCAGTTAAATCAGGATACTACTATCTGCATCTCTAAAAATAGGTGAGAAGATGAAATTAAGTGTCAAGTGCTTATCACAGAGCCTAACACCCAGTAGGTGATCAATACACATTTCTGCCTTTCCCTAAATCAGAAATGGGGGTTATACTGAAACAGGCCAACATATCAGTGCTCCCTAAACATTAATAGTCACCCCAAAGCTGCGGCAGACTGGACATGCCGATCACAAATTAGGAAATGATCTTTCACCTCAGCATTTACGTCCAAAGGGAACAGTCCCTTAGGCTCTCAGCACCAAGTCCTGTTTTCCCAAGACAGATGGCCACTTCCCAGATGACTCTGCCCCAACTGACCATCTGTCCTCCTCCCAGTGTTTCTCTTCAAACAGTGCCCAATCTGCAGGAATGCTCCTTTATACCTTTGGTGGAGGTAGAGGGAACCCTTTCCTTGGGACTCTCATACCCCGCTGCCTCTTATATGTCCCTCCAAACACAACCAAAGCCTTGAGAGGCCGATAGGTGGACTCAATGCCAGAGTGGAGGCTGCAGACCAGAGTGCAGAGAGCCTACTGCACCCCCCTCTCCCTGTACCATAGCACTTCTCAGTTTGTGCTCCCTGCTGGTGTCTGCCCTCCTCTCGCCAGCGGAAGCCCTAATCCCTCTTGACAGGAGCAACGAAAGGCTCAGTGCCCTGAGGGCCTAGAGGAGCTGAAACAGGAACCAAGAACATGCTCCCCACCAGCCAGCTCAGGCCCCAACACGGTCTCCTCCTGAGTTAGGGCCATGAAGGACCCCTAGGAGGGTGGGGCCTCATTCACCCCCCTTTGTGTATCAAAGCTGTTGCCCCGTCACTATGGAGTTGTCAGAGGAGCTCTGACTAGAAAACAAAGAAAAGACAGAATGAGTCTAATCTCCAAGCTTTACTAACCGCCCCCCATTCTCTACTCATTACCTTTGTGTGCGAGGCTTTGGGGCATGGGTGAGGTGAGGGACAACACCCCCATTCCTGAGCAATGCAGCAGCTACACTCCAACACCCTCAGAGTTCCAGGAAGGAGGGAAGCTGAGGCCACAGGAAGCAGGGGAAGAATTCCACTCAAGAAAGCCAGGTCTTGGCTGGTGTTGCTCAGTTGGTTAGGCATTATCAGGGAATTGTCTGTGCACCAAAAGGTTGCTGGTTTGATTCCCAATCAGGGTACATGCCCAGGTTCAATCCACAGTAGGGGGCGTGCTAGAGGCAGCTGCTTGATGTTTCACTCTTACATCAATGTTTCTCTCTCTCCCTCTCCCTTCCTCTCTCTCAAAAAAAAAAAAAAAAAGAGCCAGGTCTAACTCTTTATAGACACTCAGATTAAGCAAACATGACTGAAAATTAGCACCTGTTGCTGAAACCGGTTTGGCTCAGTGGATAGAGCATCAGTCTGTGGACTGAAGGGTCCCAGGTTCGATTCCAGTCAAGGGCATGTACCTTGGTTGCGGGCACATCCCCAATAGGGGGTAGACAAGAGGCAGCTGATCGATGATTCTCTCTCATTGATGTTTCTAGGTCTCTATCCCTCTCTCTTCCTCTCTGTAAAAAAACAATAAAATACATTTTTAAAAAATTAACACCTGTTGAATAATGTAAATAGTGGGTATATGAATGTTCACTGTACTATTTTTTCAACTTTTCTGTATGTTTAAAATTTTCCATAATGAATGTTGGAGAGAAAAACGTCAGAAATTGAATTTGCTCTTCTTTTAGGAAGAACCAGTGAAAAGGGAGAAGAAAGGATGAATGAGATTCCAAAACTGAGAAAAAGGACTAGGAATAAAAGAATCCCAAGGCAACCAAATAAACTCACCCAGGAGGGCCTTGGCTGAAGGACAAGAGAATCCCTGGGAAGGAGGAATTGAGGCCCAGGAACTCCAGATTCATCTTAAGAGAAGGGGGCAGGAGAAGAGGGCAGCAGGAGGGGAGATGAGTGGCGACAGGAGAGTGGGCTTGGACAGAAGGTAACAGCACATATTAGGCAGTGGAAAGGCAGTGAGTAGGGTTCAAAGAATGAATATCTGGGCTTAGTTTTGTCACTAATTCACTTTTTAACATTTTAAAATATATTTTTATTGATTTCAGAGATGAAGGGAGAGAGAGAGAAATAGAAACATCGATGGTGAGAGAAAATCATTGATCGGCTGCCTCCCTCACACCCACACTAGAGATCGAGCCCACAACCCAGGCATGTGCCCTGACCGGAATCGAACCGTGACTTCCTGGTTCATAGGTCAATGCTCAACCACTGAGCACACTGGCCAGGTACTAATTCACTTTTTAACATTTGAACAAGTCTCTTCACTTCTCTGGGACTATTTTTTCATCAGCAGCATAACATGGTATCAGGGAACGTGTGGCCGTCACAATGCCCAGAGACAGAGATGCTAAGCATCCTGTCCATCAAGGAACTGTCTCACCTAAAATGCCCACAGCCTTCGTACTAAGAAACCCTGGACTAGAGGGCACCAAAGCCTCTCTCAAATCTTTGTGGTTCTAAAGGGTGCTCTCCTGGGAACATCACCCAGGGCAGGATAAACAAGCTTCAACACAGCAAAGGTCTGAGGTCCCAGGGAAGGGCTCCCCACAGAGGGGAAGGATAAAACTGGAAAGGCAAAGAGGAGAAAGAACCGTGCTGAACATAGAAATAGGAGGCACAGGCATGGTCCAAATGACCTCCCCTAGGCTCCTCCAGACTGACACAACTCTGATTGCTGGATCAGAAATTCAGTGCATGACCACAAAGGGGAGGGCATCAACAGACAAGTGGACGGGAGGCCCAGGGGATGGAAGAAAGTGGGTAAGTCCCCTTATTAGAAAGATGCACCCCATAAAGGCACATTTCCTTCAGGAGGCGCATGCCCAATCTGCTCCAGAGGAGCAAGTATTCAGGGAGTAGTGTGCCCACCCTGCTCGCTGTTAGAAGCTGGAGGGTCTGAAAAAAAGAGCCAAATGTAACGGCTTATGTCTAAGAAAGAAAAAAAATCTTCAACGCTTGGCCTGAGAGTGTTGGGGGAAGGGCAGAGAGGAATGAAGGCTATTTATAAATGTCTACAGGATTCTGCATCAATTAGAAAAGATTGCCTGGGAGGAGCCAGGAGCAGAGTGGGGACAGGTCCAGGCAGGGAAAGCACGCCAGGAAAACACTCTTGAGGAGAGGTCAGGGACGAGAGCGGGAACACAGCCCTGGCTCAGTCCCAAGTTCAGCTCTGTAGGTGTTGTCAAAATGATGGTGGAAGTGGAAAAGAAAGAGAAAAGGGCCTAGGAGTGGGCCTCCTGGCTCACAGCATAGCAGTCCTTGAACCCTAGTGTCCAAAGCAGCAGGACGACACACTTTCTGCCATTTTCCTTGAGTTTAACTCACCTTGAACTCCAGAAAGGCGGGAGGGGGGGGGGGCCTTGCTCATTATCCACTTCTACCCCCCAACCTCACCCCCACTGCTTCTGTTTTGCTCTCAAAGGCTGATTTGAAAACAGCCTGGGTTGGTGGTGAGAAGGCCAGAGGATGGAGAAAAGGTTGAGCTGGGAGCAAGGGGGGCAGCAGAGGGACAATTCGAAGTGGGACGTCTGGGCAGTCCACTGGAGACCAGGGCCAGACCCCAACTCAGCATCCATTCACTCCCAACCTAGCATGAGGTACAGAGTGTAGATGTGAAGGTGCACACACATCCCAACAAAATTTAAAATCCAGGAAAAGACTAAAGCAGGCATGAAAAGACTAAAGGAGTCAGGGAAGGGGTACAAGCCAGAAAAGAGAGAGAATACATCTTTTTAACCAAGATGTATAAAAAAGCAAGCAGTGCATTGACAAGAGTTCTCCCGGACCTTCCTATGCCGCTAGTCTCATCCTCTATAGAAGGTAGAGGGAAAACAGAAGATATTGACATTGACATTTACTCAAAATGAGCTCAAAGAACCTTTCCACACGAGCAGGACTTGTGACCACACTTGCCGCACAGCAGTGAATGGAAAGCCTGGGGAGCTACGCTGTGATACAGCCAACGGGGGATGCAGGCATCCTGCCTCCCAGTCAGCCCAGCCTCTCAAAGGCAGGTGTGCAGGGCAGCAGGGCTCACCAGGTGCCGAAGGAGCCAAAAAAGACAAAGGAGAACTGCTACTCGTTCTGAGAGTAAAGCTCTCAAATGAAGGGGATGGGAAGAAAGTGAATCAGTGCTAAGAAGAAAACAGATTTTAAAAAATCGTGTCAAGACTCCCCCAGGCTATGCTGCCACAATTCCCATTTTCCCAAATCTTACAAAAGACACCGTCCTTACCCCCAATTCTAAGCAATTCAGACCTGCTTATGTGGCCCACGGGTGTCCTGCCCAGCCCTCCCGCCCACCCCCGCTGCCCCTTACTTACAGTTCCACAGACCCTGACATCATGCAGCCGGCCCCATTCGTCCTCATAGCTGTCCACCATCATGACACTGTCGTCCTCACGGCCCAGCTCCGCGTTGAGGTGCAGCCGTACCTCCTCACCCAGGGAGTGCATGCCCACCGCTGGGAACAGCCCGTCTGGGGACATGGGCATGATAGTGGAGCCCACCTGCAATGGGGGAGGGAGGGAGCTGCCATCGGGCTCAGTTTTGCATAGCTCATCTCATTCTCGCAGGTTACTTTTGAGATGATGCAAAAAACAATTATCACATACGCCGCCAGACAGAAAAACAGAGGTGTCAAAAAAAAACTTAAAGCTGCTAAGTACTCCTAGCCGAGCAAGGTTTGCACAGAGCTAGAAGGCAAACACAAGGCTTTCAACTTGCTATGAGTGTGTGTGTGTGCATGGAGGCAGGAAAATGCTGAGGCCTAGGTGCTGAGGGAGTAGGACTTCTCGGCCTAGGCCTGAGGAAGCAGTTTTCCCAGGGTTGGGTACAGAGCTGGTGGCTCTCTTTGCTGTGTGCTCTTATCCCACCTCTTCCCTACTTCTAGTCTCTCTCTGAAGAAGAAAGGGAAGGAGAAGTGAAACAAAGAAAATAAACACAGAAAAGACATATCCTCGAAAGTATTCAAGTCAAAAACCCGAAGAGGAGCTCCAACTTATATAGCCAGGCCATCATCTTCTCTTCTTTGTTCCTGCTCAAAACCCTCCCCCAGTTCTGTCCCCCACAATTTCTGCTCATCTGCCATGGCACTAGCTGCCCCTCTGCATCTTTCATCTGGGTAATGGCCAGCTTCCCCTGGGCAGGGAAGTGTCTTCTTCTACACCAGATGTCAGGAGAACCTGAAGCTGGACGGAAGGAGGCGGGATCGGAGCAAGCGCCAGCCAGCAGCCTCTTTCTTATCACTCCCACAAATTCTTACACAGCTTCAAACTGCTTAAAACCAACTTGGGATTTCCACTTACCCGCTTCCCGTTTTTGGTGAAGAAGATCTGAGCAGTCTGTACATCAAAGGACACAGGCTCAATACCGCAGCCAATCCGGTCCCCGGAGTTGCACTTTGACCCAAACTGGCGGCCCTTGGCTCGGCCATTGTACAGCCTGTGGACAGAGCAGCGCAGACACGGGGCCTGAGCTGAGCCTCCCAACTTCTTCCAGGTGCCAACAGCTGAGGCCTCACCTTGCTGCTTCCCAGTCATCCTGTGACAGCATCTACCTATGTCCCAGCACAAGTCCTACCCTTCCTCTAAGTCTACAAACCTCCAAGAGTAGCCATTAGGCCATCTTCCTGTCCTGATCAGAAAAGTCTATGAAAATACCCCGAGACAAGTGAAGGAATGGCAAAAGCCACTCTGAGGTAGTCCTTTATATCTAAGACTAGTGGCCCAGTACACAAAATTCATGCACATTAAAAGGGAATTAATTAAAGGAAATATTTTAATATTGCTATTGGCTCTTTCTCCATAATAAAAGTTATCAGTGATGAAAGAAAATTAGTAAAATGTATATGAAAATCTTCCTCCAGTCAGAGTCTGTGGCACACCGCGGGACCTAGAGTCAAGTCCCTGCCCACCTACACATGCTTCGAAAATGCAGGAGACCCAGACTTAGCTGGCCTCACCCCCATTGGGTGAGACCCAGCCAGCCCCACCCCTGCCAAGCTCCTCCGGGGAGGAAACTCAGCCTCAGGTCCCCCGGCCTGGCACTGGGTAGGGTAGTCTCAGGTCCCCTGATAAGCCCTGCCAGGCAGGGGGTGCAGCCTCAGGTCCCTCGGGTCCCCTGTCAAGCCCCCCTGGGTGGGGGGGCGCAGCCTTAGGTCCCCCAGCTCGGCCTGAGGTCCCCTGGCCCCAGCTCGAGGGCTCCAGGGCGTGATGACCATTTGCATATTAGCTTTTTTATATAGGATTCCCTAACCCCCGAATCCATAGGAAGGAGGTTAGGTTCCGCAGGAGGAAACTCACTTGCCGTCATCAGCATGGTAGGCTACAGAGTCAGGCAGCCAGCCAGGCTGGTGATCCAAACTGTAGTACTGAGGGACCAGCCCCACCGCGATGGTGCCTCGGACACCACTGTCCACAATCGACACCTGGAGGGAGGAGAGCAGGGCAGTTAGCACAGGTCGGAATGGGAACTGCTGCTGCTGTGGGGAAGGGAGGCGAGCCATCAAAGGGGACTGAGCTCAAAGAGACAACAGACATGGGAATCGGAGAAAAAGACAGGGCACTCAGAGGGGGAACTGGGAGAGTGGGGGCCTACTTTGCCATGATTACTTAGAAAATACTTTCCAATTAATGGATAGAACTGGACGCAGATGCTGGGCTTGGGTTAATGGTGGGAAAGGACATGGGTCAAAGTCTACTTGGATGAGGGGCAGGAGAGCTGAAGGGACGGCATGACAGGACTCCGGGGCTCCTCTCTCTCAGATTAGGCACCATGCTACCCTGTGCCCTTTTCCAAGCCAACAGGCCAACAGGACAGCTCTGACGGAAAATGAAAAGGCCCACACTGTGAACCCAGTAAAAAAAAAAAAAAAAAGGAAAGAAAAAAAGGTTCTTGGAGCGTAATGATCTCACCCCCTGCTCTGCCCACCTCAAAATAATTGCTGTCCTTGGTCAAGGGTCGAGAAGCCACATAGCAGCCAACTTCACCGGAGTTTCCATGGTAACTGAGGAGGAATGAGTGGGAAGTTCCATTAGCAACCTAGCCCAGGAGTTGGGGGAAGGGCCTCATCTCCAGCCCCGACCCTGCGAAGGCCCGCACAGAGGAGAATCCACTAGGCCAGTGTTTCCCAACCTTCTCTCATGATGAGAATCACCTGGTGGAGTTGTTAAAACACAGATTCCCGGATCCCAACTAAGAAGTGCTAAACTAGAATTTTTGGGAACATATAGGTAAAATTGCATACCTAACTTAGTGCTCTGTATATAAAATCTGTCTTAGAGCACTAGTTAAGTATACAATTTTACCTATATGTTCCCAAAAATTCTAGTTTAGCACTTCTTAGTTGGGATCCGGGAATCTGTGTTTTAACAACTCCACCAGGTGATTCTCATCATGAGAGAAGGTTGGGAAACACTGCACTAGGCCACACGTTAGGACATCGGCACAGACACAGTAACAAGATACTTGAGGTCCTCCCGCTGCCTCCAATCTGGGTCCAAGCCACTCTGACCAATGCAAGCCTGGTTTCTTCGTTTCCAGGGGGAAAAGACAGCAGGGCCTCCCTTAGTTACTAAGGGTCTCACAACTCTGTCCAACCTCAATCCCTCCTGCTGCAGCTCCGGCCCTTTTCCTCTGGCTCCGTCCTCGGGGAGCTGGAGAACGGCCGGTCTCTATCCTCTGGACCATAGCCCTTCGCAGACTGGAAGACAGTTATTCAGTCCCCACTCCTCAGCTTTCTTGTTTCCAGGCTAAATAACACTACTTTCTTCCCCCCTTCAGTGACAACTTTGTGAGTTGGCTCGAAAGGAAAGAGAAAAAAAACACAACCCAAAGGGTTGTAAGGCGGTGAGCAGGATGCATTACAGAACCATCCTTCCCCAAACAGGAACTCCACTGCCTTTGAAATGGTCACTCGTCACCTAAGGCAGTGGACAGCAAACTGCTGCTCGAGAGCCACATGTGGCTCTTTAGCCCCTTGAGTGCGGCCCTTCCACAAAATACCACGTACCCTAACTAAGTTAATAACAATGCACCTACCTATATAGTTTAAGTTTTAAAAATTTGGCTCTCAAAAGAAATTTCAGTCGTTGTACTGTTGATGCTTGGCTCTGTTGACTAATGAGTTTGCCGACCACTGCCCTAAGGCATCGAGACACAGGAAGAAGGCCCCTGGCATGCTCTCAACCATCCAACCCACCCACCCCCACCCCCGCACACAAGTCTGTTCTCTGCACAAGATGGATGACCTCAGTCTTGGGCGCTTGGGCAACTCCTGAGACCCCCGGCAGCCTCCTGCCTCTCGCATGACGGCTTCCAATGAGACCAGGAGATGGCCCAGAGTCATGGGCAGAAGGTGCAGGGGGAAGCAGCACACACTGCTCCACGCAGAAAGGCCCCCACGGTCAACAGCACCGCCCTCCCCGGGCAGTGTAGACAGTCCTCTGCCTCAAAAAAAAAGCCCGTTTTCATCTCTAAGATCTGGCACACGAAGGAAAATGTGGAAAACTCCCCTCAACTCACCTCAAAGTGTCTCCATCTACAAGAATGTGCTTGAACCTCTCCTGATACCGGAATGCCCGGACCTCCCGAATCTCCCGGATCCGCCGACGCCAATTCAGAAACCGGTAGTGCAGATTGAGGTCATCCATCTTGTTCATGAGAACAAACCTGTGTGGGTGGGGAGAAAGGGATTGAGAAGGAAGCAGGGCCCTTAGCAAAGCGTCTCAGCCTGTTTTATCAGCAATGTGGTGAGGGCGCTGGACCGGAAGCCAGTCGCCCAGGTGGACCTCAACAATCTCCGTCTTCATTCTTTCGTTCAGCAAACGTTTTATAATTCTAGGTGCTACAGACACGCTGTGGACGAGAGGGAGGGGATTCCAGCTCTAACAGGGCTTCCATTCTAGTGTAAGGAGGCAGGCCAGAACATAGGCAGATGTGACCATGTTAGACACCGGAGGAAAAAGCAGTGAGGGGATCAAGAACATGGGGTGACCTCTGTCTACAGAAGGCCTCTCTCTGAGGAGGAGACATTAGAGTTGGACGAGAAGGAGCCAGGCATGTTACAAGTCCAAGAAAGGGCATCCCAGGCACAGGGGACAGCCAGGACACAGGTCCTGGGGTAGAAGGGAGCTGGCCTGGAAGGGAAATAAAAAGCCAGGTGGCTGATGTATAAGAAACAGGAAAGATAACACAAGAGGAAAACAAGAAGGCAGGGGCCAGATCAAGGCCTTAGAGACCATAGTGAGGAGTTTGTGCTTTATTCCAAGTGTGACGGGAAACCTGTGGAGGGTTTTAAGCGAGGAAAGGATACGGACTTAAGGCTTGTCAGGTCTTAAAGATCATTCAGGCCGTTGTGGGAGCACTGACCAAAAGAGGAGCGGGTGTGGTGAACCATGAATGATGCGGCTGTGGCACCAGTTCAGATGACAGCCGGCATCCACTCAGATGGCAGCAGAGAAGATGGAGCGGAGTAGAATGATTTGGATGTTTGAACCACCAATGGTGCTAACATAGGAATGAATGAATGAACTAATGAACGAACAAATGAATGAATGAATGAATGAGTGAGTGAGTGAATGAATTTTTCCTGGAAGCCAAAAGTGAGAAAAGGGTGCAGTACTTTCCCTGTTCCCCAAACCCTGAGACAGGGGTCCCCTCAGGCCTAACAGTGCTCTGCACACAGTAGGTGCTTCGTAAGGGCAGGCCCGGAAGGGTAAGCACCTGCGGGCAGCCTGTGCCTGTCCTCCCTCGGCCAGGGCTGATCCGAGGTAGCGCCGGCGCCCCAGACTTCGGGGCATCTGCTTCCCCGGAGCCCCGCAGCCGTGGCACCGGCCAGTGGCGGCAGCACCAGCCCCGCCTCCACCCGCCCGGCCACTGAGAGGAGACCGGGGGCGCCGCGGCCAGCCTGTCAGATGACGACGCCCAGCCTCCCCACGCCTGGCGCGGGGCGAGGGTCCCGACCGGGGAAGCCTCGGAGCAAGAGCGCCAGGCGCCGCCCTGGGCTCCCGCCTCCCGCCTCAGGCCCAGGGGAGACCCGGGATCTCTGGGACCCCGCCCCCGATCCCCGCCTACCGGGGCCGCCGCGTCCTCCTCATCCATAGGCCTCTCAGCTCGCACTCCAGCTCTTCGGCCGCCGCCACCACACACATCCGGGTCCCCGCCCTACCTACTCCCTAAGGCCCGCCTCGCACTACTCTCCTAGACCAATCCGAAACGACCTCGGATGACAGGCACCTGCAAGAGCCAATAGGAGGGCGCAGTCGGGGTCGGGCGCGGCCCGGTGAACCGGGTACCTAGCGCTGGGTGGGGCTGGCAAACCGGGGTGTCGGGGCGTGGGAGGCGGCGACGTGGCGGCGCGCGCGCAGCGCCGGGCGGTCTGGGCGCTGACGGGGCGATAGCAGGGTGGCTCCTGGGCAGGCGGAGAAGGTGGACGCGCGCGGATAAATACTGGCTAGTGTTTCCTGAGCCGCGGTCTGCACGAGATGTGATGCCAAAAGCTTTGTGGGGATTCCTTTTAATATACTCTATAGTTTTATGAGATGAATCTTATTAAGATCTCTCTCTTTTTTTTTTTTTTTTTTTTTTTTTTTTTTTTTTTTTTTGTAAATGAAGAGCCTGAAGCGGGCCTCCATTGATTTTTTACAGAGAGGAAGGGAGGAGAGAGTTAGAAACGTCGGTGAGAGAGAAACATCGACCAGCTGCCTCTTGCACACCCCCTACTGGGGATGTGCCCGCAACCAAGGTACATGCCCTTGACCGTAATTGAACCTGGGACCCTTCAGTCCGCAGACCGACGCTCTACCACTGAGCCAAACCGGTTTCGGCGAACTCCATTTCTTGTAACCTTTTGCTCACTAGGGGACATTCCATTCCAGGAGAGAATTTTGAATGCAAAAGGCACAGTGGCGTGAAACTTCCGCACGTCCAAACATTTGGCATGTCAGGAACAAAGGAGTCTGGTGTGATAAGAAAGTGGGGTTGGAGTCATAATGTGAAGAGAAAAAGGATACAAGCATTTATTGAATACCTTCGAAAGTGTTATTGCCATTCTGGGGAGGACTTCCTTGATTTCCTCCCATCACCAAATCCCTTTTCCAAATCAGGAGGTTTTTTCCCCCTCTGTATTTTCATTCTATCTTGTTTGCACCTCATTTATAGCCCTTATTACAATTATACTTGTATTATTAAGGTCCCCTCTGTGTGTAGACCTGTCTCTGCTAGCCTGTGAGCTACTTCAGACTCTGGGATTTATCCTATTCTTATAAATAGACAATCCACAAATGTTGAATGAAACAGAAACCATCATCTCTTACACCATACACAGTGACCACTGGCATGCTGGAAATAGGTGTTGATGAAAAATTGAGAACCTAGGTTAGAGCCCCAATTCTGTGACAGAAAGATCAAGATCTTGGTGTTCTTATTAAAAAGTATTGAAATGAGCCGAAACCGGTTTGGCTCAGTGGATAGAGCGTCAGCCTGTGGACTGAAGGGTCCCCAGGTTCGATTCTGGTCAAGGGCATGTATCTTGGTTGTGGGCACATCCCCAGTAGGGGGTGTGCAAGAGGCAGCTGGTTGATGACTCATTCATTGATGTTTCTATCTCTCTGTAAAATAAGAAAAGAAAGAAATTAAAAAAAAAAAAAAAGGTATTGAAATGTGTTCTCTTAGCTCCCTTCCAGCCCCTGAGTTACATGGTTCTGGATAGTTACTCTCCTTAACTTGTCACCAGTTCCTTCTGTTTCCTTTATTTCCTCTCTTCCACCCTTTCTTCCTGAGCTGTGAAAATACCCCAAGTGTCAACTCAGCTCTTCCCAAAGGCAGCTAAAGTGTGACCAGCCAGGCAGCTCCTAGAGTCATGTGCATGGTCACAACTGGGTCTCCTAACTCCCTCCAGAAACTAGCTAGCAAGGGCCTGAGACAGAGAGAAATGGCTGGCAGAAGGTATTTCTGAAATGTTACTGATGGTTCTTTTTCTACTCGAGATTTCCTCATCTTCAGGTGCCATATGGGGCTGGCCTTTTTGGTGAATCCTCAATCTGTTGACATTCTCAGAACCTAATTGATAATTTGTGGTTAATACCTAAATATATTTTATTAAACAGCTTTATTGAGGTATAATTGACATGTAATAGACCATACATATTTAAGGCATATAATTTGATAACTTTTGAATATACCCATGAAAATATCACCACAATCAAGATAGTGAACATTCCATCACTCCCAAACGTGTACTCATGCTCCTTTATAATCCCTCCTTTTCATCTGCAGGAAACTACTAATCTGCTTTTGTCATTAGTTTAGTTTGCATTTTCTAGAATTTTGTATAAATGGAATCTTCTAGTATATGCTCTTGGGGAAGGTCTGGCTTCTTTTATTCAGCATAATTCTTTTGGGATTTATGTTATTGTATATATGAATAGTTCATTCTATTTTATTGCAGAGTAGTATGAATATACCACAGTTTATCATTCACTTATTGATGGACATTTGATTGTTTCCAGTTTGGGACAATATTAGAAACTAGAGGCCCCGTGCATGAATTTGTGCACAGGTGGGGTCCCTCAGCCTGGCCAGTGATGGGGCAATCAGGGACAGCTGTGGGGAAGGACCACAGGAGGTTGACTGGCCACAGGAGGTTGGCTGTGGGAGCGTACTCACCACCAGGGGGAAGCTCCTGCATTGAGTGTCTACCCCCTGTTGGTCAGTGCATGTCATAGTGACTGGTCAACCTGTCTTTCAGTTGGCCGGTTGTAACGGTCACTTAGGCTTTTATATATAGATAAGGCTGCATTCATGTTTGTATGGACATATATTTCATTTTCTTTTGAGTAGATACTTAGGCATAAATGGCCAATATATATATTTTTATTGATTTCAGAGAGAGGAAGGGATGGGGAGAGAGAGATAGAAACATCAATGATGAGAGTGAGATGGAATCCAAGATGGCTGCACAGGTAAACACCTAGCTGCAGCTGCCCACAACAATTTCAATAAATACAACTAAAATATAAAATGGACATTACCCAGAACTACAGGAAAGTCGACTGTGTGAAATTCTATAACGAGAAGCAAGGAGAAAACCAGAAGGAAGAGCGGAGGAGCTGTAAAAGCCTAAGGAAACCAGCCTAAAAGAGCCCCCTCTGACTCTACAACCTTCATCATGGCCTCAGCTATAATTAGGACATCTCACCCCAACACTGGATAAAGGTGATGTAGATCAAAGAGTGTACCTGAGAGTCAAGAAGATTGAAGTTTGATTTCTGGATCAGCCACCTGTCAGTCCTATAACCTTGGACAAGTTGTCTGGCCTAAGATGCCTTGTAAAATAAGGAAAATAAAGTAGGATAGTTCCGAAAAGAAAAAAAAAGAAAAAGAAAAAAATGATGAGAGTGAATCATTGATCAGCTGCCTACTGCATGCCCCCAATTTGGTCATGTGCAACCTGGTCATGTGCCCTTGACCAGAATAGAACCTTGGACTCTTCAGTCTGCAGGCCAACACTCTATCCACTGAGCCAAACCAGTGAGGACATTGTCTGTCATTCTTTTAGATTTTAGCCATCCTAATAGGTTTGTAGTGATATTTCGTTGTAGTTTCAATTTGCATTTCCATAATGACTGATGGTATTGAGCATCTTTTTCACATGCTTATTTGCTACCTATAGATCTTCTTTGGTGAAATGTACAAGTCATTTGTCCATTTTTTAAAATTGAGGTGTTTTTTCTTAACATTACATTTTGAAAGTTTTTCTTTTATATACATTCTGTATTTAAATCCTTTATCAAATACATAATTTACAAATAGTTTCTTCTAATCTGTGGCTTGTCTTCTCATTCTATTAACGGTGTCTTTCAAAGAGCAGTTCTTAATCATGAAGAAGTCTAATTTATCAAGTTTTAACTTATAAATGCTTTTGGTGTCCTATTTAAGAAATGTTTGCCTAGTCCAAGATCACAAAGATATTCTATGTTTTTTCTAGTAGTTTTATGGTTTTTAGGTTTTGCATTTAAGCTATAATTCATTAAATTATTTTTATTTTGAAACAATTTTATATTTGTAAATATTTACAAAAATAGTACATGGAATTCCATACATCTTTCACCCAATTTCCTCTAATGTTCACATCTTACATAACCATAGTACAATCAATAAAACCAGGATATTAACATTGGTACAATACTGTTAAGTAATTTACAGACTTTATTCAAACATCATCACCAATTATTCCACTAATATCTTTTTTCTAATCCAGGACCCCACATTGTCTTTTTAGTCTTCTTAGTCTGGGACAGTGATTCAGTATTTCCGGAAGAGTATATGCCAATTATTTGGTATAATGTCCCTCAGTTTCATTTTATCTGATTGCTCATTATTAGATTGAGATTATGTATTAACAACTGTATTGAGATATATGATTCATTTTGTATTAGTTTTTGTATATAGTGTGATATAATATATGGATTAAAGTTTACTTTTTTAAAAAATATTTTATTGATTTTTCTTACAGAGAGGAAGGGAGATAGAGAGCTAGAAACATTGATGAGAAACATCAACTAGCTGCCTCTTTCACACCCCCTACTGGGGATGTGCCCGCAACCAATGTACATGCATGCCCTTGACCGGAATTGAACCTGGGACCTTTCAGTCCGCAGACCGACGCTCTACCACTGAGCCAAACTGGTTTCAGCTAAAGTTTACTTTTTTCCTATGAATATCCAATTGTCCCAGCAGCATCTGTTAAAAAGACTATCCTTTCTCTACTGAATTGCCTTTACACCTTTGTAAAAAATCAATTGAGCAAGGAAAAAAATTTTAAGAAAATGATAAAAAGTCAATTGACTGTATATATGTGAATATATTTGTAGACTCTCTATTCTGTTCCACTGTTCTATCTTTATGTTTAGATTACTAGAGCTTTATAATAGGTCTTGAAATCAGGTAATATAAGTCCTCCAATTTTTCTCTTTTTCTTTTTTACATTTTTTAAAATTCTCCTGGAGGATATGTTTTTATTGATTTTAGAGAAAAAGGGAGGGATGGAGAGAGAGAGAGAAACATCAATGTGAGAGCAAAACATTGGTCAGCTGCTTTCTGCATACCCTTCACCAAGGATCAAATCTGAAACCTAAGCTTGGGCCCTGATCAGGATTGAACTCGAAACTTTTTTTTTTTTTAATTTAAATGTACAGGGCAATGCTCCAATC